ATGAATGTAGACAACAAATTATATACAGACCATATATTTGGGATGGTGATGACGATGTTCTACAATATTACTAATGTCATATTTCTTGATTAATTAGTATTTTGATTTTTGTAGCTATACAGGATCTTTAACCTGATTACTTACAAATATCATTTACCTTTTTATCCATTGCTTTATAAGAAAATTACTACAGCTATTATTCAGAACTTTGCTATTATCATTTACAACTTTATTATCAGTTTTAGCTCTACAATCTGAGCTAGATCCTCTGAATACAATATGCATTTCATCAAAGTCAACCACATCGTCTTTGTTACCAGGTGTATGCCTTATTTCCAGCTTATTAACACAATTCTAATTCCTTTTATTTATTGTATCAACATTATCTTTGTTGGCAGATTTTTGGCAAAAACTGAATACCTTATATCTATTCGTTTTATTACATACTCTATTTTGATAATATTTATCAACTTTCTACAACTAACACTATGTGTTTAAATAGGGTTTCTATCTCTACTAATTTTTGATAATTAATGAATACTTTACATTCATCCTTTTTGACATCAATTCCTATAGCTTTCAGTTCATCTGATTTATCTCTTTAATCATTAGATTTCATAAGCAGGTTCTCAAAATTCGTGTCTTTTATTTGTATTAATTTCTTTTTATTCAACCTATTAAGAGTAAAGTATCTCATATAGTTACATATATTTGATTTTTGATGATTAATTTTTTTGTATAACCAAATGATCATATATGCTAAAAATAGATCAATATATAATATTTCTAATCATATAAAAAGCCACGATACAATTTTCAAACACGAAAAAATTCAAAGAAATCGACTCAAAAAAAAAACAATTGTACTTGATTATTATTTATATGATTATTTATTTTTTACGAAAAATTACCAATTTATTTATTATTTATTATACCATATGATTTTTTTCTTTTATAAAAAAAAAATTAATCATTATCTACTTTTTTTCAACTATAGGCTCCAATTACCTCTTTTAATTTTCTCCTTAGCATCATCACGAATGCCAATAATTCTATAGCTATAGACCAGTATTGATGATTCTGGTGTTCGAACCTTCAGTTCTACCTCTTGATTAATTAAACCTTTGACTAGTAAAATATCGATCAAATAGAAGACATTCTGATAGGTTTGAATGTGGCCAGTAGTGCCTTTGTATTCATCAATAGTATTGAGTTAAAAATCATGTAAATTGGTATTATTTGTTTTCATAAATATGTCTGCAATATTCTCTCTTTTCACAAACTTGTAATTCGTTCTTTCTTGCACTGCCTTATTTAATAATTTTTTTAGAATTCTAATGATTCACATAGTATCATCACTAACATCTTGGCAAACTGGTTAATTTTGTAAATACTATTTGCAGTTATTACATTAGTAATATTGTAGAACATCGTCATCACCATCCCAAATATATGGTCTGTATATAATTTGTTGTCTACATTCAT